CTATCTTTATTTCATGATATTCTTTTGGTCCGATTTTTAGAATTTTATCTTCATAATTCCCAAACTCTTTACAGGGTAAAATGTTTCGTTTCGGACTTTCTAAAGTATATTGTATATTTTATATTGCGTAGGAATAATAATAGTGTTTTTTTGATATCTAAAATGTCTCGAATATCAATTTTATCCAAAAACTGTTGAAAAAAATATATTTAGAGAATTTCAAAAGCATAAATTAAAGTCGTACAAATTCTTAATTAAAAAAAATAACCGAAAATAATTATCCATGTTTGAATCATATTGGTTCAAAATCATCATTTCACTGCAGTCGAATGTGTAAATTTTGAATATGACCATAGAACCCTTTAATCTGCACACTTTTACTCCATTCATAAACTGTGTGGTTTTTAAATAACTCGACGTTTAAAGGGTTAATAAGCTTACAGCAAGTAGGGTGATAATAAAATCTTGCTATAAGGCGATTACAAGGTTTATATATTGTTCAAGGTAACTTATTCTAATTGATTCTATGTCAAATAAGAAATAGAACGATTAGACTTGGTTTGGATTCTTAATTTAATCTTATAGAGTAACTTTTAGGCGTGAAGGAGGGTGTTAAACGAATTACAACATGTAAGCCGATTTACTTTAAAATCACTTGATAATACAGTTCTCAATGTAAATAGATAGCATGGTATTTAACTTTGTAAATATTTACAAATCACTGGTTTTATGTGCAATTATTGACTAATTGATACAATTCTTCCAAATTGCAAATTTCCTCCGAGGTTGTCTGAATTAAGATGGAGTCAGGCGCCATTTGTTAGTATCATGCATCGTACAGTAAAGTATACCAAAGAGTCATTAGATTTACCACGACAAGAGTTCGACATCCGGTTTACTGAATATGACTTGTGGTATGTTTAAAATAACACGGAATCAAAGGCTCTAAGTTGTGGTTAAACAGTAAAACTGTAAAACTATAGCACTCTATATTCTTTCCAGTCGTAGGTAACTGACAATAGCTCAACTACCATAGGTACCACGGTTACCCACCCTCGCAGAAATAGCATTAACTACAGACTGGAAATATTCTAATCCTCCACTAGCAGGCATTAAATTGACTTACGGTCAAGAATTCTCAGAATATAGAAGAGAATAAAATGTTAAAAAACATTCCCGGGGGAGGGACCCCAACTCATTTAAATCCACATACCCCCACTAATCTAATTGAGCTACTGGTTACTAAAACTAACGAATTGTTGTTCATATCCTCAGACTTCCGGTCCAAGGAATTTTATAGAAAATTGAATTGGAACCTCCATAGAATGTATACATCATTTCATTCTTTAATCAACTGTTGGGCACTCTTCTTCAAAATATATAATACATCTCCTCAAGACATTGATAATAAAGAAGCACAAGATATATATAATAAATAATTAATAACACTGCCTGTATGAACATGTGAAACGTTGAGTTAATAAATGTCAGAAATAGTATAACTATATATCTTGTGATTCTTACCTATATATGGTTATACTATTTCTGATATTTATTAACTCAACGTTTAACATGCTCATACATTCATCGTTATCAAATAAATAACAATATGTCCATATATCTTGTGCTCCTTTATTATCAATGTCTTGTGGGGATCTATTACCTATTCCTATATATTTTATAAACAGTACGTTAATAATACTTTGTTGATACCGTACCCCTTTATAATATCAGTGCATGCTCCCTAAGTATCAAAATAAGTGAAACTGTCACCTCGGTGGTCAAAACTATAAAATATCCATTAAAAACATAATGGGAGTTATATGAAGTACTATACAAGCTCATTGTACGCCTACCTAACTATTTAATCAAGCGGAAGTGACACGAGGGCTTATTTTGCATAAATATAATTCATTATTCATTTATAGGCTGACAGCTAGTTCAGTATTTTCTATGAGGTAGTCTTATTCAGGTAGCTTGCCCTGAAAATATTTGTGAAGAGAACATGTTAAATTTAGAGACACAGAGTTTCTGACGGAAATGTCGGTAGAGATAATACCTATAGTAGAACTGTACATAAAGCAGCAAAGATGAATAATATATAAAATAAATTTTTACCATTTTTACCTTCAAAAGTCATCTGATTGCAAAAGACACTTTGGAAAGTAGGCTATGGCTTTTTAAAATGTATTGCTAGAATAGAAGCAGAAAGTAACTTGTGGTTCTAACCATTTGTTTCAAATTTACATCTATCAAAATCACAGATGTGAATATAGAACTGTGTAATCGAAATCTTAATAGGAAAGAATTGATGAATGAAATAACTTTTTGCCACAGTCAGTCACCTCATAGTGGAAGGGAAGTAACTTGATTTAATTCGCTTTAACCTGACCACTTTTAATCAACGTCGTTAACAAAAATGGCTCGGAAGGGCAAGTAACATATCCGGAGGGGAGATAGGGGAATTACAGTGATGATATGAGTCGGAAATCTATTTTTTCAGAGGGAGGGGAGGGGGGGGGGCATTGCAGTTGAAGCAACGAGTCTGTCTTTAACCTTAAAAGAACAAGAAAGATCTCTCATTGATATACAGTATAAACGTAAATGTGCTTAAAATATTTTGTAATAATTAAACATAATAATTAGAATTATTACCCATGAAGTACGTTGTAATATTTTAAAATGTTCACCGGTGTGAAATACCACTTGCGGGTTAATTAAGTGAAACTCGTAATTAGAAATTTCCTTTGAATAGAAGTACAGATATTTGCAGTAAATTGGATACAGGTATAGAGCTGTCACCTAATTAAATACATGATCTCCCTTGCATCTATTTTCATTTGATTCTCTTTCCTAGTTAACAAACACTTATGAATTGCTCTGAACTTCTCATGAATGATAATAATCATTCAATTGAATCATATTTATATTCAATTAGGTAGTTGAAAGCGATATCCTAAGCAAACTAAACTGCCTCTAATAAATGTGTTAGTTGCCTCCCTTGAATTGATTAAATTAGGCTACAGGACCTTGTTAACAATGATATGGGCCTATATTAAGGGTTTTTTCTATTTTGGCAGTTTATCTGTCTTTGTTTGAGAAAATGTAATTTTGCGAATTTTTAGAAAGTGTATTTTCTGTGTACTTTTCTGCACACGAAAAAAATTAAATCTAGCCCTGCACTTTGTCGTGTTTACGTTGAGAGATATCTCATTAAAATTAAATAACAAAGTCATATATTTTTCTGTTTTCTGATATCTTAGTCTAGACGAAATTGTAATCTAATTTTGATTAGATTGCTATGAGAGTGACTTCATTTGGCATCCATGATCTGATGTAATTGTCATGCACCAATAGATAGCCAACTATGAAATTCAACCAATGCTGCGTTCAATAAGTGTACCGGATGCTTCTGAATAAATTTGTATTTAGAAACAAATATGATGAACTAAAATTATTTGTAACGATTCGTGAAATGAAGTGTAAAAACTCCCTAGAGATAAAAATAGACAATGTAATAATTTCTACTGAATAATTCATTTATCTTACTCAACAATCTGTAACATATTCTAGACTACAAAAATTAATACTGTAAAAACTTGTTTAGCAACTTATGGAATCTACATTCTATAACAGATACGTCGGTTGAATCTGTCTCAATGATCGAATCTACATTTTGAAACAGATTTGTGGTTGAATCTGTCTCAATGATCGAATCTATATTCTGTACAGAGGCGGATTAACCTAAAGCCAAACTAGGCAGCTGCCTTTCGGCCCATGACAAATTTTGTAACATTAAAAATTATCAAACAGTTCATAAATTTCCGTGGGCTCATCGAAAATTGTCCTACAAGGAGCGTGATGTGTGAGAATCAACTAAATTGTTTGAGCCTAATGGTGATGAATGCCGATATCGTGAATACGATTGATGCTGATGAGCTGATTGATCTGTTCCTGAAAAAAAAGATCGCAAACCTCCTGCAATAAAACTGGGCCCTCTACCGCTCTACGATCCAACACGTCCAAAATCCGCCACTGATTCTGTTACAGATTGGCGGTTTGAATTTGCATCAATGACCGAATCTACATTTTGTAACTAATTGGCGGCTTGAATCTGTCTCAATGATCGAATCTACATTTTGGAACAGATTGGCGGCTTGAATCTGTAACAATGATTGAATCTACATTCTGTAACAGATCAGCAGCTTGAATCTGTCTCAATGATTGAATCTACATTCTGTAACAGATCAGCAGCTTGAATCTGTCTCAATGATTGAATCTACATTCTCTTACAGATCGGTGGCTTGAATTTGCCTCAATGATCGAGTCTTTCTGTAACAGATTGTTGTTATAATTTGCTAAAACACAGCCAGATTCACAGATTCACGGTATAATAATAAGTTGAACTAGACCGTCCGTAGCAATTTATGATAATAATGATTTTTCTATATCACAAAAGGTTAACAAACATTACACGTCATAATATTCTCGATTTTTGGCTAGCAATTTGTAACACTTGGAAAAATTACCTCTTGTCGACCTTCGGCTAAGCCCACCTACCGTTATTATATCACACTTGATACAGTTTATTTGATGTACAATATCTCATTAGGACTATGTTAGGCTTTCTATGGGATGACTAATGACTCTCAGAATGTAAACAGCAAATTAGTTTTTGAAATATCACTTGAAACGACAAACGGAAGTTGTTAACTTCGGTTAATTGGAAATTCCTCCAGTATGAAATTAAAATGGAAAAAAAGAGAGTTTTAATTAAGCAAGATTTAGAATATAGACAATAGGAGTGTGTATTATAAATTTATAACATCAAAAACATTCGGTTATAACCGACAAACAATGAAGTTCACAAGTACAATGCAGTGTTGGAGAAGACTTGAATTATACTAGATATAGATTATAACATAACATCCTGAAACCGTAGCAGTAAGATGAACTCTAGTGACGATAGAACCGGATTAACGGATGGATTAGTGGGAATATTAAGGACACATTGTCTGGAACGAGGATGTGGTGGGATTAGGGGATTAGGATTAATGTTCCGGCATCTGGATAAAGATTATTCCAAACGAATAACCCTAGACGAATTCAAAGATGGAATAGATTTCTATGGATTGAAATTATCGGAGAGCTATGTCCGGAAATTATTTGAAGTCTTGGATAAAGATAATTCTGGTGGGATAGACTTCTGTGAGTTTATGTTAGAGCTAAGGCCTGAGTTATCACCACTTAGAAAACAAGTTATTGATGAATGTTTCAATTCTTTGGATAAGAATCAAGACGAAATTTTAAATATCCACGACTTAAAAGGTTAGTTATTTCATTATATTTGTGGATTTATTTCATTACATTTGTGGATTTCGACATGTCTTAGAGTTGATGTTCTGTTCATCGGGATCATACTCGTAATAATGGACATAATGGAACTATGAGCTTCACACAATATATGCATGGTCATTATATTGAGAGCATAAGATGCTAAATGCTGTAGCCATATCTAAGAGCCTACGTAATTTCCAGTTCGACATCGCCTGTAGGCCTTTTTATTCTAGAAAAAAAACTTGACCAGATTATGACGTCACTATTGCAAGTACCAGCGGCGTCCCAATCTGGTCATTTTTTTCTGCAATAATAAAAACCACAAAAGTTGGATGAGAAATCAGAATGATGCAAATAAAAGCAATAAAAGGCTGAAATCTCAATCGTATCATGATGTGGTCACTGACAAAAATTGCCCAGAGAAACTTGGTCATAAAAAGGACGAAATCCATCCTTCTTGTTACCTTGTCTATAAGTTTTATTTTTTGTTACTCTGCCTTGTTTAATTAATTATTGACTGAAGCACATTTCCTTTCTTCTCTTATATAAAATGATAACTTCCATGCATGTCACTATGCTCTTTGACTTTTTACAAACAATAGACAGAATAACAAAGAGATAATTACATGACAGCACATACATAACATAACATAACAACAATACAGTCTCGTTTTATCGATTTAAGTTGTTTACCTCAAATAACAAACATAGGACACATTACAATACATCAGATAAAAAATAAACATCAATATTGTATAATTATATTCTTGGTTATCAAGAAAGGAAGGGTTTCAATATCTGAAATTGATATTCTGTATTATTACGAAGATAACATCTTAAGACCACATGGACCTTGACTATCATCTGCTCCTGGGTCAATCCTCTTGTATAAGTTTCATAACTAAAGTTCACGAAGAACTTGTCCATCAACTGGTCATGGCCAATCCACTCATACAGGGAACATCTTAGGTTCACGAGGATGTTGATTATGGTAATTGACAAACCTCTGGGCATGGGTCTTTCCCAATTTTTCCAGCTGTGTCCATTTACAGATGGGTCAACTGGAATTATGAGGATATCACCAGATTACCTTACCATAGATATCCACCATTACTGAAATACGGTTTTAGCGATTTATAACCATGAAAAAGTCTCGAGAAAACTCATTTCTAGTGGAAAACAGTTGAGATAATTAAATTTCAGTTTCATTACGAAAACTTCTTTCCATCTAAATTAAATTGTTGTCGTTTGATTTCCCATGTCTTTTTTATCACACGTCTGAAATCATCTAGGTAATCTTTGATAATGATTTTGTCAGCTCTCTGTTATAACTTTCGGATGATAGACATTTGAAATAAGTTATCAATAGAGTACTAGTGTTTGTCTTTAGGTAATGGTAGTTTGTAGATTATAGGGGTTGCTTGTGTTGAGGTTTGTTGGGGAATTAAGTTGTATTAATCAAGCATAGTCTGATTTAATTAATCAGCTTTTTGTTGGTTTCTTATTGTGTTTAGCAGCTTTTCAGATGGCTTTTCAGTAGTGTCTTTCTAGATTGTAACAGGTGGTTGTTTAAAATAGTGTTTGTTGTTTAACAGTGTTTTTTGTTGGTTGTTTAACAGTGCTACTGCTTGTTAGTAGCTTAACATTGTTACTGTTGATTGTTTAACAGTGCTACTGCTGGTTGTTTAACAGTGTTACAGTTGGTTGTTTCTCAGTGTTACAGTTGGTTGTTTATCAGTGTTTCTGTTGGTTGTTTAACAGTGTTTCTAATGCTTGTTTAAAAGTGTTTCTGTTGGTTGTTTTACAGTGTATTGTTGTTTGTTTAACAGTGTTACTGTTGGTTGTCTAGCAGTGTTCCTTTCGGTTGTTTAACAGTGTTTCTGTTGGTTGTTTATAAGTGTTTCTGTTGGTTGTTTATTGCTGTTTTTGTTGTTTTTTTAACAGTGTTACTGTTGGCTATTTATTAGCGCTACTTTTGGTTGTTTAACAGTGCTTCTGTTAGTTGTTTAGCAGTGTTTCTGTTGGTTGTTTAGAAGTGTTTCTGTTGGTTGTTTAGAAGTGTTACTGTTGGTTGTTTAATAGTATTACTGTTGGTTCTTTAGCAGTGTTACTATCAGATGTCTAGCGGTTTCTTTCGGTTGGTTTCTCTTGCAGCATTTTTCTTGGTAACTGAACATTGTTTCTTTAATTTTTTTGCTATTATTCATTTCATGGACAGAGTTTTTCCATAGGTTTGTTTATTATGTTTCCTTGGTCTCCTATAGAATTGAGGTGAAGGAGTTGCGTCCCATGTTATATACAGCTGAAATGAAGACTGGGCCCAATTTAACAGTATACGTATTGCATTAAGTGGCATAATCGATATCTTTCCTCAACTGTCTAGAGGACATTTTCTCTGTTATATCTAATTGTAAGACTTCACTGAGCAACAATAGGCAATGATAATTTGTAAACATCAACTTGTTTCAACAATCCTCTGGCGGATCAATCAGGGATAATTTTTATGCCAGTTACCATAGCAACAAACAAAATACATAAACACATAAATCATATTCATATTCGTAAAAAAATAAAATGCTAGGTAAATGACATATTAAAATAAGTAATTAAACTAATTGCAAGTTTGAAATTAGAAAACCTAAAGTTTTTATGAAAAATCCAATTAACAGTCAGTCTCAAATTCTTTGCTTGTTTTTATAAGTTATACGCTTATTTATTCTGCAAATAATATAACGTCAGAACATCAGAACATTGTCTTTCTATGGGACACAACATATTTTGACTATAGAACACTATCATTGAGGGGTGAGTTTCAAAAGTCAACCGGCCAACCGCACCTACCAACAATAAATAGAATGCGCCGAAATGAGTCAATATCATGGAATCTAAATTATTTTAAAAATAAAACGAAACAAATAAATATTTCTTTTCTTGCTCTTCGATATCTTTCTTGGCCGGTTGGCTTTTTTAACTCACCCGTCATTGAGTCAAGTGTAGTTCTTTGTAGCATTAAGCAACCATGTTAAAATTTGGTGTAGCTTACAGCAGACTAGAAAAACATTCAGATATTTTCACGGTTGTTCATGATACATTTCGTGAAGCTCTCGCAGGCCTTTGTTTTAAAATCAAGCCAAGAAGCAGAATGGCACCAGACATACAAGTAAATACAACGTAATGTGTTCGACATTGTGATGATAACTAAAATGAACGTATATAATAGTAAGACATGGGATGTGAAATACGATTAACAACTTTGTTTCGTAGCCGATTGTTCCATTGGACTAGGACTATATTTTCTGGTATCTACCGGTATGCCGACCATAAAGGAACACAATTTTATGGTGTAATACGCCTTTTTATTGTATTGGTATACTCTTTGAGGTCGGCAGCTACTACGCTTATATTCAGGAATTATTGTTTTCATGCGCTTTGAAGTCTGAAATACTGAAAATGGCTACCACGCAGCACTAGTACCAATCTTGATGAAATGATATTCATAAATATTAATAATCAAGATCAAACGGAATATTGCTTGAACAGAATTGACGGGATGTAACACGTACAATCATATACAACATGGATACAGAATGAGTGATAAAATGAAGTCATTGTTTATTTATCAGTTTCTATAGTTTTAACTTACAATAGAGATTTTTTTTACTATACACAATCTTTTTATTACGTTTTTAAGAATTCATATAAACACGTTTTTCATGGTTACATGAGAAATATATCAAATGTCTTTTCTGGAAGGTTTTTAATGAGAGATATTGAAGTTGATTTTAGAGGGCTTAAGAATCGATAAAAATATTGTGGTTCCTGTTCACAAGTTAACTGCAATCATAATATTGTGCTTTGAATAATTCAAGATCATTACAGAAGGTGGAATACCCAGAATCCAGAATAGAGATGTATATTGTTTTGTGTTTGACATGAATATTGCAGGAGTAAGCTTTTTGTACAAACCAAGAAATGAACTCATTCTTGAGACTTTGACAAATCTTTGAGAAATTCCTCGAAAGACGGGAGGTCATATTGTTATTCTTAGAATGATTGACATAAGTTAGAAACAGCTTGCGTCTGCAATTTTGATTTGGATCGTTATTGTGTGAATTTGAAATTCTTTCTGCGTCTCTTACGTATTAAGTATCAAGATGTACGCAGAACATAAACGAGACTATAAAAGAGAAAAGTTAGTCTCAACTATCAGAGATCAATGTTTGAAAAACAATTGTGGAGGAATCAAGCACATCTCGACCGTTTTTAGACTGATGGATATAGACTATTCTAAAAGGATATGTTTTGAGGAATTAGCACGTGGAGTGAAAACGTTTGACATTTCGATTAGTGACGAAGAGCTAAAACTTTTATTCGACATCCTCGACAAAGACAAGTCTGGTTATATTGATTTTAATGAATTTATGCATAACCTTCGACCCGTCATGAGTCTATCAAGAATTCAGGTTATCAATGAAGCCTTCAATAAATTAGATGTTAATAATGATGATGAGTTACAGGTTGGAGATTTACAAGGTAGGTTACAAGATCTGATATATGATATCGTATACAAAAACAAACTTCGTTCTAAAAGACTGTCGTCTTATGGTCCACCATTTCGTTATTAATCGATGATGGTCGAGGTATTAAAATGGAAGATCGTTCCCCATTCGTCCTTTGATTTGTAGGTTGTAGACGAGTTATACCACTTTGTAGACGAGTTATCACACTTTGAAGACGAGTTATCACATTTTGAAGACGAGTTATCACACTTTGAAGACGAGTTATCACACTTTTGACTCAATCCACTAAAACGTAGAAACGCCACTGATGGAATACTGGTGCAGTTACACTCAATAAATGAAAACTAGTTCTTTTATGAAGATAAATTGCTGAAATTAGTGGGGGAAAAGTTTCACAAGGCCACGAGTTTTTATGTTTTTTTTTTTTCATATTTCTGAATACATTCTGAAATCCTTTTACATGCGGAAGCTCTCGTTGGTGCCGAAACAATGTGACCCGGAAGTTGAAGCTCTAGGTCGTAAAATCAGCTATAATAAATTTATTGGTTAACCTTCAGAGCTTACTTCCTGTAGAATATTATAGTTCCTTATTCATCTCAAAAATCAAATTAAAAAATAGATGAAATATTTTGCGTTGGGTTATGTATCTGAAGTACAATATGTACTTCCTATAACATAGAAAGTTTATGGATAGAGTAGGGAAATGAAAGGTTACTTCATTCTAATTGCAAAAATCGATACAAATCTGCCTATAGTGTTTCTAGTTGAATAGCCTCCTTGACTGAGATACATGTAGTACTTTTTACAGAAAGAAGTCATAAACCATGTACCACATAAGCAATTTTGTTCAAGTAGACACTTTGATAAAGACATCTTTTTCTTAAAAAATTCTTACTCAACTGTTAATTGATAAGGGTTCGTGGTTTAAACGATAATGCTGAAGCAATGCCGATCAGACTAACATGGGCAAAACCTTTCTTTAGTACACTGTATGTTTATTACATCTCATTTATTGCTTTGTGTATGTTTTTTATATTCGACAGAAGTGTTTATTCCTGTCTAAACACACTGAAACTTTCTGTTACGCGAAGAGACTGTGTTTCATAGATTTCCTTTAAAACAAAAATCATTCTGCTAGTAACTTCTATCTACTCAGAAGAAAACTCCTGCTTATGGGAGCTAACTCTAACATTCATTTGGACACACTCCAGTAATTCATTTGCCGTCTGTTTCCATTTTAAATCTCAAAATTCAACCTTCTATAACTTTTTCCAGAAATCTTGTTCCAATATGTCACATGAAAGCCTGACCAATGCTTAGTTTTTGACAAAATTTCGATATATTATCATGACCATGAAAATCTTGAACTAGCCAAACTACTCAACATCCGCTTGACTGTCAATGCACACAAAACGACTATTTTAGAATTATCATTCGGCATGAAAATCTCTCATCATCTAACAAAATCTGAAAGAAAATGCAATTTCAGACATCAAATTCCAAATCTTGACCAAAATTTAGTCAAAAATAGCATGCAAAGAGGATTTTTTTTAAAGTAGCGCAGACTACATTCATACAATCATTAGCATAAAATTAATTGTTGGAGTGGGTTTTATATTGTTCTATATGTCTCTCTACAGAGAAGCGCTCTACAACATATCACGGTAAATAATGGCAGGCAGTATATTCCTGAACTATGCACAGATTGTCACGTGATCACGTGATTCTGGATTAAGGTGCGAATAGACGAGGTACACTGTCCGGTGCGGGATTACCGATACAGTAGAAAATAGAAGAAACTAATCGTGTCCTTATCGTGTCCGGACCCGTACCCTGTGTGTGGGAATAGATAATGTACGGTGTCCGTTGCGTGTGTGGGATTATCGATACAGTATAAAAAAGAACAAGCGAACACACGAGGTACGGGTCCGGACATGGTGCGCTTCTACCATTTTCTACAGCATCGACAATCCCACACCGTACACCGCACCGGACACCGTACCTCGTCTTTTCGCGGCTTAAGATATGGATCCAAAATGATGCTAAAAATTCATCATGGGTAAATTGATAGCTACACTACAACAATTATTGAATAAGTAAATGTCAGAATTATATCATGTAGGCTCCAAAGCTAGGGACTATATTGCAAAATTACCATCAGTTGACAAATTGTGAAATACCGGAAGAAAGCACTACGAAATCTGCCATTCATTAATTCCGAGAAATATTCAGCTTTACAGAAACTGCCGATGATTGCGGAATGGATCGATCTGTGACCTTTTAAAAGGACAACGTCACAAATTGCTTATTCTGAAAAAAAATATTATGAGAGGAGGGTATGTCTATTGTAGGCTCATCTTATCCAAACCACATCTTGTTCAAGCTAACTGATCCATATCCATCCGACACTCCTTAAATGTCTATATCAGATTAACCCTAGCCTTGATATTTCCCACAGTAAACATGGAAGTTGGATACTGTAAACAGTTTGGCTGATTCAGTGTTAAAGGGAAGGTACCAGATAGATTTGACGTATGTTATATTGTAAAAATATTTATTCCCATTGGTTCCCAGATATAGACCAGCGTTATTATAACAACGTCTCCTTATCAATAAAAAGATAGACCTAAAGCATATGTTCTGACATGTTCAAGAGACGATCTATATGTATGCGAGTCTATGCCAAACAGAAAATAATTCCAGTTACTAGTCTCAATTATCTAGATGCTTCAAAAAATGTCAAATTTTCTGAAATAACACATGCAGATCTAGGAAATTCACTTTCTATTTTATACATAATATATTATGTCATTTCTATATATGGCAGTCTCAAGAAAAGACGAGTCTTTAACTTTCAAACGCAGATTATTCTGGACCAATATGGCGGTGAGCTGTGAACACTATTACTGATTAGCTAAATAAACACCTTTTCTGAGACTAAGGACGATTGGTCAAACGGATGGCAAACCTTTCCCCTTAACTCGTCAAAACCTATTCAAAATCGTACACGTTTTTAACAGAATGCATATTGTGGACTAGTCAAAACCCCAATTTGTTCTCTCGTTTTTACCCGAGATATCCAACATTTAACTCAGTTTACCAAACTAGACATAATAATTTACACAGTCTACTCTCTTGTGACTATCAAGTAAGGTTAAATCGAATCGTGTTGAACACACAAATTTCCCGGGTTTTAACAACAACTTTCTATTAACAACCGACACTTTCTGTTTATTCTGACAAGAAAATAAAAGCCTTTCCATTAACAGGTTCCCATTTTGTTATAACTGTGTTTGGTTTGACTCTATACTGTTCCGGAGTTTGTTGACATGCATTTCAATCTAACTGATCACTTCGACCCCATGGACTCTTTCAGGACATGATCTTGAATATTGTTGGACATGAACAACGGTTATTTTGCCTTTCATAAAGTCATATATAACACCTATATATACCCACAAATACCAAAACTAAGTGTTTGATGTCGTCACTTATCGTGAAGGGCCGTATGTGGTATAGCATATTTTGAGATTATTGACGTCAGCATACACTCAGTTTAGTGGAATCGCAGGATCCACAGACGTCTGATCGAAGATCTGGATGGTGCAAATTGATGCCGACAGTGACATAAACAATTTTTAGAAAACCTTTTTACAATCCCTTTAAATTTCATGTGCATTCTAAGAGGTAATATATATTTAAGATGTGTTCAAAATTGATAACTTTAATTAACTGATTACACGTCTGACCAGTAATGATTTAATTAGGATGTTTATATTTTAGTCTGTCTTTAAATCTAATGATAAGGTAGAAATAATAAAAACTACCTTATGGTAAAATATCACGTAGCCGAGAAAATAATTAGTCTAACAATATTGATTAAATTTTAATTGAAATTATGTAAGATTTTTTTTATCCCACTTATTTTATTAAGTCATGAGTGGTCGATGTCGTGGCACCGATAGTCCAGTATGTAAATAGCGTCCCAAAGGAAATTTAGGGGGGGGGGGGGGGGGGAGGGGTAGTAATTGACGAGATTTTTGTTTTTAGTTTATATCCGCAAATTTATATAGTTAAAAGGAGGTAATTCTTTAATCAACTAATTGTTATATTAAGGCAAACTTTAATGTCATATTGCCCGAGGAGGATTTGCGATGGAGAAGTTAGACAGGATTGGGAACAGTAGACCTACCATGAGAAATATAAGGAGCTAGTCCAGTTACCCATAGAAATTCCATCTTTAGAATGTTATTACGAACTCCATGTAATACCTTGACACTTTTCTTGTATATTTTTATGGAATATGAATTAGGGCCATGATCGTAATACTTGGTACCTGGGTATTGTGAAGATGTTAATTTGAATCCCTTTCAGTTTCACGAATGACTATAGTGTAGGCTGAAATTTCAGCCAGAAAATGTAATGAATATTTCATTAGTAAGACTATGATACACTAGTAATAGTATAAATAATAAATACAGATATTAATGAGCAAAACTAATTAAATCTTATTAATTATCAGATTGTCATTGACAATCTCTAATCAAATTCATTAGAATAATTTCTAGAAATTATCTTCATTTGTTCTTGAACAGATTATCCAGATAAATGAATATATTTAGAGACAATATTGATCAAAAGAATAAGATATTATTTCACTAGCAACACTATGTTTCCAAAGTTTAACAAAAATATTGCCTTTTATGGCTTACCTTGGCCCACGGGAATTATATTATTTTGCCATCTTCCGTGTTGCATGGTTCTTCTATACATAATTGCTTGTATATACTTAATGGGTACAGTTTCTGGAGTGTTTTCAAGAAACTTTTCATTATTGATCAACACTGTTGAAATTTTTTGAACTTTTGAGCTAGAGTTATTGCCCTTGTTCGTTAACGTTGAAATGGTTAACCATGAATGGATATAAAATAAAATCATACTCCACATAAGGAGATAATTCAATGTGACCCTTGGACCGAATGTTCCTCCTTCCCCCAGACTTAATTAAGGCAATGATTCCTCTCGAGGGTCTTCCAATTCCTCCCCCGTTGAGAAGCACTGCTCTAAGCCCCTTACGGTGTGGCTGGTGGGTAAATACACAGAATAATATTAGTATTTCTTTTTGTTGATCAATGTTGATTACAAAACGCCAAAAAAAATATTTGATGAACATAAGGCGGACTAGAAATCGATGATCTCAAAATAAGATATCCTTGAGGGGAAAAAATCTATCATGTGAAAAAGCCGATATGGAAAGGATAAGTAAATTAAAAAATTGATTTTGACAAATGTTGAAATGGATTATTTGCCTTTTTCTTCATCAAATGAAGTTCATTTCTCGAGATAATGGTTATTACATAGACAGAATTCACAAAGACTAGAAAAACTTTATCAATATAAAGAATAGCGATAGGTTATTCATTGCCATATTATATAGTATATAGTTCATTTAATAAACGAGTTGATGAATGTTATTTGTCAAACCTTTTGACTTAAGTAACCATTAATGTCATATAAAATTCCATGTGAAATATTTAATTTCAATTCGTATATTTTTATTCTTATATTCGTCTTCCGATCATAATATCCGTGTAAATCAATCAACGGACAATGTGACAAATTGAAAATATTACTTAAAGTGTATTTCTATGAATAATCAGCCATTATTGAATCATTCAGATAAATGAAAAATCATTTTTTATGAGAAATATCTTATTTATTGATATAAATGTATCGATTATTAGATCATTGCAACACTATTCAGCTCGTTATTAGGCGGTTAAGAGAGCGTGGAATATCACGATGTGAAATATCTTTTACCGATGTCACATAGGCCTACTAACGTCACATTGCTAGAATACTAACTTCACATTATGAGATATCTGAACAGTATTGTCACATTATAAGATATCTGAACAGTAACGTCAAATTATAAGGTATAATTATGTACACTAAATTCACATCGGAGATATCTGAATATTAACGTGACATTTCAGATATCTGAATACCAACGTCAAATTGTTGGATCAAATCATTGTTATTTTCTTAGATACCTTAATATTCAAATCACATTGTGAGATATCTGAATATTAATCTGACATTGTATGATATCTACGTCGCATAACGTCGCATTGTTAGATATCTGAATATTAACGTGACATTTCAGATATCTGAATACCAACGTCAAATTATTGGAACAAATCATTTTTATATTCTTAGATATCTTAATATTCAAATCACATTGTGAGATATCTGAATATTAACGTGACATTTCAGATATCTGAATACCAACGTCAAATTATTGGAACAAATCATTTTTATATTCTTAGATATCTTAATATTCAAATCACATTGTGAGATATCTGAATATTGATATGACATTGTATGATATCCACGTCGCATAACGTCACATTGTTAGATATCTGAAAAACAATGTCACATTGTTAGATAATTATCTGAACATCAATGCCACATTGTAAAATATTTGAATAATAACGTCACACTATTAGCTATCTGAATAGTTATGAGATAAGGATACTATCGTCACATTGTTGGATATCTGAATATATAGAACTTCGGAAGGCAATATGACTTCTCTCTAACGTGTGACAAATTTAGATGGATTTATTTTAAAGAGCATTCTGAAAATTTGAAATTCCAATGTCTTTGAGGATCGTATCTGTATTGAACTCAATAAGGCAATTGTCAATTAATTGTGAAAGGGTGTGACTACTGCAGTTGAATCACTAATTAAAAAAGTTCATTGACTGGTATGTTATAAGGAATTGTTGTTTGTGTCCGGTATAACCAAGGTAACGTGACAGTATATTCGTAATCTGTTATATCTAGCTAGAATCGATCCTCGTAAACATGCCATTTTGCTGTTCAACTGAACAAAAGATCGTTATTGCTTTCACAGCTCCAAAGCTCTTCAGGGACAATAATAGGCTTTATTCAGTTGAAAAGTAATAAGTACAATGAACTTTGGTTGAATGAATATATTGAAAGGTCCATTTTCCATTCGATTAATATTGAAGGTAAATAAAGAAGAGTTAGAGAGAAAACTTAATGGATTTCAGGTGAAAAAGTGAAGGATACGTTTGTTATTTAACGGAAAGGATAAGCCTTGGAATAATCTACATTAGATCGAACAGTTTATTCGGATTATCCCTAAAAATAAGAAAGTTTGGTTCATTATTATGTGAATAAAGTGAACAATTATTGAGGATTTGGAATTGATGACATCACTAATTGATTGGGTCGAAACTTGATGATGTCACTGGCTTGTGAATATAAAGTCCATACAAGGAAGAAATCTCTCAATATAGCTCGCGATTCGTAAAGAAGGAAGAAGGAAATAAAATATAATTGATTGGTTGATGAAATGGTCAGAATTAGATTAGGTCTATAATGTCTTTGATATATTAAGTGATAAATGATAAATAGGAACTGTGTGTTTATTAATGACAATTAGTACCGCTAATTAGCTTGGGCAGAATATACATATAGTGCACATATAGTATGATATATATATTATGTTATTTGGTTAGAGGCTCCTAGTTCTTGAATCGTTTCCTTCATATAGATAGACAATAACCAGCTGTAAATGAAAAGTAAACTGTTTAATGCGGAATAGGTGGATATACATGATTATCAAATATTCTTGTGTTCAAAATAAAGTGGAAACGGATTTGAAGTGAGAGGCTTAAAGACATATATAAACGTATCAATGGAACTTTACTCAAGAATGAAGAAATTATAAATTGTGTACTTTCTTCTAATTAAAAACTTATATACACAGACGAGATCAAACATTCTTGAGTTAAGTTGAATTCAAACTCAAGTGAAGAAAAAATCAAGGAAGACTGGTTGATAGAGATTTACAAATGAACTATGTCACTGGATAAGAAATTAAGAATCTGTTAACGCTATTGAGTAACCTTGACTAACTTTGTTGAAGTAGAGAATATATCGTCTGGATGAGGTGAATATATGAAAGTTACATTTACATGTTTATATCGTGAAACGGAATCTAGAATCCTGCTCCGATTTATAAGTCAAACTCTTCTTATATGATCAGCCGTCGGTTGTTATTCGGTCGAATCTAATACTGTAGGAACATTAACTTCAAAGTACAACATTCAACACCTCTGATGGACTATACAGTGATTACAAATTAGAAAATAGTTATTTATTGTTAAAAGACTTCTATTTACCTGGTTACTGACATTATTTACTTATATTGGCATCTTGATTCAAGTGAATCACAGAGGCAAATAAAATTAAAAATTGAGAGTATTCTAAATTTAGTTCAAATCTTATCTGAAAGCTGGATTTAAAACCTGACACATGTTAAGATTGGGACTATCATAGAGTAGGTTGTCGTTCATCTTTTTTGGATATAAGTGAAGATTCCGGATATTGATAATATCTTAATTTTGGACAGTTCTTGAAAAGTAGGACGTAAAACTCCATTCATTTAATTTGAATTGAACTATAAAAAAAATAACTTAAGTTTGGCTGCTTATTCACTCTGGACCAGGATCTTAAAATGGATGACCGATTGGACAAACGTAAAATGTCTCTGATAGAAGGAATTAGAGAGCAGCTGTTACAAAATGGGTGTGGTGGAATAAAACATCTCTCGACAATGTTTAGAAGGATGGACTATGACTTCTCTAAGTGTATCTGTTATAGAGAACTTTTAATTGGTATCAAATCTATGGGCGTGACAATTTCAGAAAGCGATTTAAGACTTGTGTTCGATCTTCTAGATAAAGATAAAAATGGTTCCATAGATTTTTGTGAATTTATTCGTTATCTTACCCCACCTATGTCAGAACAAAGAATCCGAGTTATAAACGAAGCTTTTGACAAACTGGACGTCGATAAAAATGGACAAATAGAAACAGATGACTTACGAGGTATTTTCTTTTTAACTTCTTTTGAATATTCCATAGTTAATAGTCAAATATCAAACTTAAGTATTTTTATATTTGGGCAGATTTATTTGAATTGAACATGATGTATAGACATTTGTCTTGTGATCGGGGGCACAGGCAAATATTTGATGACAAAAGCGTTATACAGAACCCCTTCCATATTCTGTTTTTTACACTACAATGTATGGAAGGAGTTTCAACTCAATTTCTCTATTCACAAATATGTTAGGGTTGTAGCTTCAGATGTTCAAATTCAACTTGGGCAGAACAGGTATTGTAACAGAAGCTTCATAATATAAAAACTACTTGTGTAGATCTGTTTAAATGTAGGGGAACCGGTGTTGAATTTATAATATTTAAACGTACTGTGGATAGCATCATGTCCTAACCACAGCCCCATTCGTCATACTTCCTGACCATGTCAAAACCCGTATTCGTGATACGATGTGTGGATAGCTGCTAAGGCCAATATTGAAATGACTAAATATATGTAAAATTACATTAATACACGTCGGTGATGATATGTAGAAATTAATAACACTGAAGGTTCTCTATATAAAGACAAACAAAGAGCTGATATTTAAGAGTAATAATAATATTGTAATAATTAAAATATTAATTAATACCATATGGTGCTGGTCATACGGTACTATAGTATTGTTCTGGTGTAATGAGGGGAAATTTATTACTTCTCGTACTTAAATAATTACTTTTCTCAAAGGTTGTTTATGGTAATATTCATTTATATGGCGTAAGAAGTTATTCAATGCTACCGAAGCGTGTTTCGCGTGATGTTCAAACTAGCCAATCAAAACGTCCGCACGTCACCAATTTTACGTTTTGTTTTGTAGATATTTATTTTTCGAAACTTGTGATGTTATAGGAATACGAGCAACCCACTCATTCAAAAATTATTTTCTGGTTAAACCAGCCAATCAAAACGTTCGCACGTCGCCAATTTTACGCTTTGTTTTGTAGATATATAATTATAAAGAAGTTCTAAACTTGTGAAGTTATATAAGTACGGGCAACCCACTCATTCAAAAATCACTTGCTGGTTACAGTTTATCGCTTCATACATAGCTATTATGATAATCTTTTTATCGGTATTTGTTTAAAAGTATGACGAATGTTCGTGAATAATTGAAGATTGCAAGATAATTTATGGACGGTGAACGGTAGCCTAATTTGTTACGTTTAATGTAACCAATTATAAACAAACTTTTTGTTTTATCATTTCAGTTGTATATTCTGGCAATGTTAAACGCCACCCTAAATATGTTTCTGGTGAATGGACAGAAGAGGAAACATTACGTAACTTCCTGGATAGCTTGGATACACCCGGATGCCCGGATGGAAAAGTTACCCGCCAAGAATTCCTGAATTACTACGCTGGAGTCAGTGCTACAGTTGATGACGATTGTTACTTTGATTTAATGATGAGGTCGTGCTATGGTCTACGTCCTCGGGGAAATAGTTAATATCTAAATATTCCATAATAGCATAAAAGCATGGAATTCGCTTTCCATCGTCCCTGAAAAGAGGTATACCAACCAAATGTCCACCATTCGATATAAAGTAGGCTAATGCTACGAATTCCACGTGTGAACTTGACGTTTAACAATTACTTGTATTACCTTGTATTTGCCATGAATGGCGTATTGTTGTGTCCTACAACATTAAAGTGAACACAATAAGCAACCTTTCGACAGAATTTGTACGAAGATATAAAAATTCCTAACATCGACTAATTTATTACTGTTGGGACAATAACTCTCACAATATAAACAATTTGGTATGACGACCTTTTATGGTCTGACCATGACATATATATATCGATTTTATACAGACATCAGAAGAAATAAATCAAATCGATTAATTCCACAAAATATGAACTGTGATACGTAATACACATATGTATAACGATTGAAGTACTTATAAAGGTATATTACCGTCTAAATATTTGATAGCGCTCTATTCAGTTATCCGCAACACTTTTCAGAATGAGTTCTTTTACTTTTAATCGCGACCAGTCTGAACTTGTGCTTTTGTTGAATTTCAGAAGATCTGGCTTTGGGTTTTAAATCTGAAAATAAAAATATAATACTGATGGCTCAAATTGAGCTCTATCAGCTAGTAAAGCAAGTGTTTAGATGACTGCACATTTCCTTCCTGAGATAATGTTTTTCTTTTTGGTAGTTATCGTAGGCTACCTAGATGAAATACCAATGCTTGTAGTTTTATATATTGTGTTAAAACGTAATTACCATTGCTGGTATCTTTAGCTTACCCCATGACAAGTTTCGAATCCATACAAGACAATAAATACCCAGATTCGGGCTGATAAAAATTACTAAGGGAGGCAACTTACTAATGACTGTCAGACTAATTCCAGACCCCACGTAATGATTGATATTTGGGAGGAAAAAAAAGAAATTCTAATACGATTTAGGGTTACCAAAATCTGAAAAACCATCCCAATGAAGAATGTCAGATATAGAAGTTTATGAACAATGAAAATGGTGCTTCAGAAGGCTAATTTTAAATGAGCTACTAAAAATCGCAAGGCAATATTTCTGCATCCCATCTCATGTGAATGCTAAATTCTTTTTCACCCATTGGCATTGTCTGCTTTACATGTCTTTTCACATTGTGTAGATTTAAAAGGTGCTCAATTCAGAAAATCAGTAACATAAAACCAGAATCGGAATGAATGAATGAATTTAGAATTTCATTCCCGAGTTTTCTCCGACTGTCCCGTATTTGTACCCCCAGCTCCGACAGACTGGCGCCGCCACTGAATGATGGCTCGTATTATATACAATGTGTCACATTTTGTTCTTGAATATGTCAATTCAATTTTAGATTGGACTTTCCCCTTAAAAGTTTTATAAAGTGTGCACTATTTTATGTACTAATAAAATCTATAAATGTTTCAAATATTTTGTATGAAGTTTACCGGTTAGGTCTGGTATATAGGAGCTACAAAATATATACACTTCCCACATCATTTAACTATAGCTATGGAATTGAAATGAAATATGTCATGATATGCAGAATATTTATGTCATGTGTGCCCTGAAATCAGCATGAATCACGAGGGATTGGGGTCTACGACTTCATAGAGTTTCAGATGATAAATAACCAAGTACTAACGACTCGAACAGCAAAACGAAATCCAAAACAACATATTGGCAATATATTGGTAGCAGCTAATGAACTTTTCATATGAGGAAGTATTTCATAATGAAAAGGTATAACGTTTGTCTGAAAGAGTAGACACTCTCTGTGTGGCGCCATATATGAAATCTTACCAGTCCAATCCATTCAATCAGAGGGAATCCAACATAGTCAGTGGTACCGTCTTATCACTGTTCAAGGGAGGTAATTCAAATAGTCATCATAGTTTACTGCCACTTAGAGTTCAATATGGTAATAAAATTCACTAATTTAGAAATCTATACAGCTCAGTTTCACAAATAAATTATCATACAACAAAGGGAACTCTTTATGACTTCTATACTGTATTTCTGTTTGTCCTTTCACAATAATGAAAATTAATCTTGAAACACTTGCCAATTTGAATTCCATAAAAATATGAAGTCTGTTTAATTTTTATTTGTATAAACATATTTCCCTAGTGTAATTGTATATCACATCATTTGTAATATTATCACCCAAGACTTCTGGTCTAGTAATATCTTGGAGTAATGTAAACAGGGGTTGGCTTTTAACTGCTTTTATCTCAAAGGAGGAATGGAATCATTGATTAGAACCTTTATTCCAACATGTCCAAGTTAGATAGAAACAAGACGTACAAAAATACATTTATTTATCTAATAATAATAACAAATATTTTCACTGTTAAAATAGTTCTCAACTCAGAACATGTAGAAAGAAATATTAAAACAGAACCTGAAACATGTTGTTACTCAGAGTTTCACCTATCAATCTTCAGACTGCATCCATACATTTCCAAAGATAAACCATAAGCTTACTATATATTAAAAAAAATATTAACAACCATCATCATATTTGATCATCTTCCAAGCTTTTATCTAATTTTTTTTTGTACCCTATTTTAAAAATATCATAAAAATAGGTTGTATTCCAACATGTTAAAACGTAACCTGATGGAACCTACTTGGTTCATCTGGTCAGCATCAATTTCAGACTTGACACAGTCATGATGTGCTACAATCCACAAATCTTTTTTATTTGTTATCAATTCACAATAAAAGTCAAAATTAAAAATTCTTCAGAATTAAAAGTCTGGTCTAATAATACATGGGATTAAAAGTAACCCAATGAGCTTTCTCCTGATTCTTAGCTTTACTAGATGTTGTAAACAATGATTTGTAGGTAGCACTGACATTAGGATTATCTTGGATACTCTTAATCTTAGCCTCTTTCTCCTCTAATTTCCCATTGGTTGCTTTCGATTTGAGATCTGGTTTCCCATTTGATAGTTTAGACTTAATATCTTTAGAGGATGGTCCAGCCTTTTGATCATCCAATTTAGCAGATTTGCTACTCTGTGGTCCATCTGGTGAAGTGTCTGTAGAAACCTTATGTTTTCCTGCCTTCTTGGCTAATTTTGCCGCTTTAGCTTTCTGACGTCTTTCATTCATATTGTCTCTCATTATGTCCACTTCATCTTCAGTTCCATTTAAAACAATGACATCATTTTTGTCGTAGGTCTTCCCACATTTATGACAGATTTCTGATTTAATTTCTTTCAAAGCTCTCTCTGACAGCACACACCCACAACTCCAAATATAACAAAACTTATATTTTCCACTAAGTTCAATTCCAACAACTGGACAGATGTACTCTGAAGTCTGTGTATCAATGTAAGCATCACCTTTCTCAGCAACATTACCTTTATAAGCTGGATTTTCAGACAGTTTCAGTTCTTTCAAATCACGAAGTCCTCTCAAATGATCAAATTGATTCGCAAACTCAAATTTACTTTTGTCAATCAAGAATTCTAAAACTGATTCTTTGTTGTAAAGTCTACCTAATTCACAAGCTAAGATTGGTTTTTGTAAAGGTTCCAAACTGATAGCACAGTGCTTCCATTTCACAGCCAACTCGGCAGCCTTGTCTTTCTGTTCAGGTTTCTTCTTGGTTTTGACTAGTTCGTCACGAGTTGGAATCGTACCTCCATCACATCCCATGGTTAAAGATTAATCACGAAGGTTGGATAAACAAACCTACAGAATTCAAATACTTAAAATCGAATCAATTACACGACAATGTTAAATTATTGTAAAAATTTAGAGTAATACGACTTGTTTATCTTTTTTTACACCGGAAATGCTAATACCGGAAATGACAAGCCGGTCAAATCGTGCACAAGTCAAATTGGACATTAAAATTTTATAAATTTTGTAACGCTTTGGTCCATTTTTTTAACCTTTTATCGGTCTCTCCATTCCTAATTCCGAAGAGCGTATGAGAGGCATCGAAAATGCTATTTAGTGCGACCAATATCCATTCCATATGTGGTTATACCTGCAATCAAGCATAATTTGTACAATTATTGAATTCGAGATTATCCAGTACTCTGAGTAGTGGAAAATTCATTACAACGTCTGGATAATCAAAATGAGGTGTATGAAAGAAGTTGTCCATTATAACGGTAGGTTGTATATATAGTAGTCAAGGCTACCAACAGGTAAAGTTCTTTGATATTTCTAATCTAACTACTGTTTGAAAGAAAGATATTTTTACAAATGGCGATATCCATTCATGCACGGACGTGTAGGAGAAGTCAATTGATTGATTATTGTTAATTAGTGAGATTAATTAATCAATGGATTAGGAACATCATAGTGTTATTTAATTACAGGTGTTCATTGTAAGAGCTTAGTTCATATTCTGTGACTGAAGGAAGGGGCATTCCTCAGGTAGTGATAGGATATCCTGGTTTATTTACAAATTTACCAAGGAATGCCAAGGATACACCCAGAAAACTGAGGTAGATTAGGAACATAAGTTTATACATATTACATTAGGCTAGTAGCCTATTATAGGATGTGATTAGACACAGATAGACACAGATACGTGTACATCTAAGAAGCCCGTTAATGTTTAAACCTAGTTGTGAATTTTTAAAAATCAAATAGCCAGTAGGTCTACTCTTCATGTAAAGATCAGATAAAATCAGTGAGGGGTATTGGAGTTTCTGAAGTCCAAGAAGACATTTAATATTTCCTTTTATTATTATTAATAATTTGCTGTTAAATTTTAATTTTGAGAGTAGTTCTATACAGTTTACTATCATATATAAACCTAACTTCAGATAACTGTAAAAATCAAATTAGTCTAAATACATACAATCACTGGTTAAAGTTATATGCAGTGTTGACGTGTTTCCCCTGTCGTCCTCAGGGGGGTGAAATACGTCGAAACGTTGCATAAAACTTTAATCAGTGATTGTTGTTCCATAAAGCTGTGTCTATGTATCGTACTCACAACTGCTAAATGCCATTCAAAGACTAATACCTTAAAGTTTAGATTTTTTACATGAAGTAACTTATTGTATATTACAGATATTCAACTACAAAAGGACAATATTTACCATATAAGATGCACCCGATCTTGTTATAAATTTAACATGTTCCAATAATCAACTGGTATTAAAGGATTCAATCCAGCTATAGGCCTAGATAATTAAAGGGGTTAATCCATGTTGTACCCTACATCGCCTGGATGAACATATTTTTACAAAGTATGTATTTTACAATAGTCAGAAACACTGGTATTTACATGTACTCTTAACTTATGACTCTAATTTGCATGGTATTAGTGCAATGTAGTTTTTGCTGCAGACTTTTAGAGATTTTGGAAGTGGTCTTTGTATATAGTCCAAGAGCTAGCTATGGGTGATTTTACCCCAAAAAACCCAGAAGGTTTGATGGTTTCAATGAATTAGGACTATGACAGACATTGAAAATTATACGTAAAGATGTACATCAGCTGCTACAGATCTGGTAGAAATGTATAACTTAAATGTGTGTGCTCAGATGTTGCACCAATTTTTGTCCATATTTTTAATAGTGTTTTGAAAAAATACTAAATTACTATAAGTAGAAAAATGAAAAAAAAAACTGCCGTCTTTTAAATACTTCTGGATTTACAAGAAGCGTTATATTTTGTACATGAATTTGATTCTTTTTATGGGTTTTTTTCATTCTAGAATACAGAATTATTGGTAAGAAAGGGGAAGGGACATTTTCCGAAGTTTTAAAATGTCAAAATATAAAAGATGGCGGATACTGGGCGTGCAAGAAGATGAAACAAAGTTATGACAAGTAAGTAATTTTATATATTTTTTAAGAATCATTTCAATGGATATTTTATATATGTATATAATTATTCAAATTCATTCTCATTCTTCAAGCATTCATGTTTGAAATTCTTCATGCTGTGAAGGAAATCAAGAATATACCAAAGACTATTCACTGCTTTTAATTTATTCTATAATATACATATATTACGATCCATATTTTTTATTATTCTAATATTTCCTTAATGGAAGTTTATCAATCCAAATCAAAAAAACAGTCACAGAAAAAGTAGCAAAACTCAATACAGAAAGGACAGTGACTAGACAATTAACCATCTCACTGCTATTTAAGGCTTTTTAGGATATTCACCCCTTCATAGAAAACTGTGTCATGAATTGAATACCTGTATAGGTATTGATTATTCAATACTATTGGTTTACTAGTAGTTTTAATAAGACTTGTAATTTAATTTCTTTATTAAGAGGTCAAGTAGGTTTTAGAAACTTTTCTAAGAGAATTTGAAGGGATTTACTTGTATTATTGCTATAATTTTAGTGTAAATAACACTGTTATAATGCAATAAATAGTGTGATAAAAATTTACTATTGAATAATAAAGAATATTTGGGTATGAATGATATGCCTATTGCCAGTGGTATGGAGAAAAAAATTCACATATGTGTACATGTATAGCCTTTTTAACAATAATTTAGCATTATATTTGAGTAGTTTGGCAGCATTGTAAAACTAAAGACATGGCAGCGATTGAATTGGGTTTGAGACTGAGCTAAAATTTAGCTCTATATTGTATTAAGTTAAATTGTTGTGTGTCGAAAGATGTGTAAGATGGGCTAAACTTGAACTAATATGGATCTCCTTCTTTTTTTAAATGAGATTAAGTTGATATTGAGCTTCATTTTCTAGCTACATGTATAAATAGTAGTGTGTCAAGAATTGACTAGGATGATTTCTAATTGAGCCCAAATGGATCCCATTCCTGTATATATTAGATTGAGCTTATATTAAGTTCATGTTGTATTGCATAACATAATTGTATATCAAAGGTTTCATGGGATATTCTCTTTAAGAATGTTTGCTCTAGTTTTTCATATTAGTATAACTATAAGTGTTTGAAGTGTGTTAATTTTATGATTATATTATAGTTTACTAATCCTGTCACAGGTCATCTAGAGATTACAAGATTATCTCAAGACCCTAATCTCAAGATTAAAGGAGGAATATCCAACTAACTTAAGGAAAATGTTAAAAAAAATTTCTTAGATAATTTATAGAAAGACTCTGCCAGTGTCAAGTTACATTAATTTATTAGGGCTGGTGTGACGGCATAAGAAGTATAAGTCAAGCTTTACTTTAAAGCCTTTGTCAAGTCACTTTTATTTTCCCAAAACCTGCTGCAAATTTTATTCTATGATAGGGAATTGACGTTAAAACAAGGCACAGGGGGTCTTTGTGGATTTAAATACATAATTGAGAAGAAAAGTCATTTTGAATGTTTGGTCGTCGCTTCAAAAGTGAGGCATTTCTGCTTATGTGACCCTCTGTGTGCGTGGGTACAAGTTAATGTACAGTGAGGTCTGACTGTAACCACCACCTGACGCATCCACCTGTCATAGCGTATGCTAGTGTATTAGGGAAGGTAATGGCTCCAGAAGTATAAACCAAACTTTACGTTACTGCCTTGCTGTCCAGAAACATTATAACTTCTAATTACAACTTGTAATAAGTGACATGTTTTTGTATTTTTCAGTATGGATCAGGTGAATAACCTGAGAGAAATACAAGCCATGAGAAAATTAAATCCTCACAATAACATCTTAGAATTAGAGGAGGTCATATTGTAAGTTTTATATTTCTATTTCGCTATTAACATCATTTACAAAGACATTTAAATATAACCAGAGGGTAGCTCCCCTCTAGTGACATCATAAAACATGTTAGTTTACATGGTATTGCAAGAACCACAGACGCCGGAATGAAAATTGGAATGGTACAAATTGATGCTATGAGTGTCCCCGATACACGTGAAAAGTTTAGAAAACCTCTTTACAATCCCTTTAATTATCGTGTAGCTTTGTTGCCATAACTCTTTAGATTTGTACCTCATATCACATATTGACTTGTCTGAGTTTCATTTCAGTGACAAGAAATCTGGTACTCTAGTCTTAATCTGTGAATTAATGGATATGAATATCTATGAACTTATCAGGGGTAAGTGATGCTGATTTAATGTTTATATATATATATGATTTGAGACATGAGAGCCTTCAAAATCAGTATGGCTACATGTGTAACTACTAGTTCTACTAGAAAATGAAAAATGCAAGAAAAGTGCCTAATGATGTTAAGGTATAAGACCTCTGTCTTATTGCCTTGATGATGTGACATGGTAGATCTGGAAATAGTAGCAATATGATTTTATGA